CCCCCAGGGCACAAAGCAGCCCCGAGGCATTGGGAAGGCACTGCTTGGTTTGTGGGGGGCTGGTGGGGGAGCTCCTCCTGGGAGCACTGGTCAGCTGGGGATGGTCACTCCAGGTGTGCCAGCCCAGGGTTGGGGGGAGGGAAAGGGGGCAGGGCAGGGTGTCCCCCCCCATCCACCTGTGTGCCAGGTCTTACCCGGGGGGCCTGAAGGCAGGGTCCTGGCAGTGGGACAGCGAGGGAGGCGAGACCATCGGTGATGGGCTGTGGGGAGCAGGAGCACTCAGAGAGGGGGGAACACCCCCGACCCTGCTGGGGGGTGGAGGGGTGTCCACCCTGCCCCCCACCCTGCCCTGCTCCTACCTGTGGAACGGGGAGGTGAGCCTGTTGGGGACCATCATGATATTGCTCTCAACAGTGGGGTAGCCCGTGGGGATGGGCTGGGGGCAGAACGGAGTGGGGGGGCTGCAGAGCACACAACAGAGAGGGTCAGATTGAGGGGGGTGCTCTGCCACAGCCCCCACCCCACGCCCCACAGCAGGGCACTCACCAGATGGGGGCCAGCAGTGGCTGCAGACTCTCAGGGCGCAGCTCGTGCTGCAGCACGGGCACGTTGAACATCGGTGCCTGGGGAGCCTCGGGAGGGGCCCCCACGGTGCTTGGAGGCTGCTGGTCCCTGCAAAAGCACATGGTCCCCATCAGCACTGCCAGTCCAGGCTCTGAAGGGGAATATGTGCCACTGGTGCTCAGGGGGAGGGCGGGAGGTGCACACATGTGCCTCAGTGCAACTTGGGGCCCACCGGGGGCTCTTCGCTCACCAGCACAGCTCAGTTTTTCCCAGTCAGGAATTTCCATGCCCAGGGGATGCTCAGGCCAGCCAGGGCTCTGTGCAAACCCCAGCCCATGTGCACACACCTCCAGCACAGACCTCGCACCCACCTTTCTCTTTCCACAGTCATCTTGATGGCAGTGGAGACATAGCCCCGGCCGTCCTTGCCTGTCTGCTCTTCTGCTCAGGGAGGAGAAGCATCCATGAGCCACCATCCCCACCATGCCCTGCCAACCATCTTTGCCAGCCCCAGCTGCCCCTGCAAACCCAAGACCTCCCCCCGCAGCGTTGCAGGGGTGCAGAGGGGCAGCCCAGGGCCCATCCCAGCCCTCCCCACTCACTGTTGTAGTGACTCCCAAACGCCTGGTCCTTGGGGATGTTGGGGTACAGGTTACGGAGCTGCCCCAGGTCCCGGATCCGGTCGCCGAGGCAGCGGATGGACAGGTCCTTGGCAGAGAAGGGCTGGATATTTTCCACCTGGCTGGAGCCTGAGCGAGGAGAGACACATCACTGGATTCCAGTGGTGGCTCCTGTACATCCCCTGGCAGTGAGGAGCCCCCCTGCACGGCACCTGACCCCGTCTCACCGTCCTTGCCCCGGATGACGTAAGCGATGGTGACGCCCCCGATCTCGGAGTCGCTGAAGCGGAGCAGGAAGGTCCCGTCCGGCTCCATGCTTAGCAGTTTGCACACGTACTGCTTGCTGATGAAGCCCATGATGAGCCTGGAGGGGTGCACAGATGGGGAAGTGGGATCAGGACTACCCAGGGCAGTGGGGTGGGATCAGGACCCCCAAAGCCCAGCTCCAGGGCACCCACCTGTCTGACCAGTAACTTTTGAGACATCTCTTGGTGAGGTCCAGGACTCCATCAAACCACTGCCAGAAGGTGAATCCCCGGCCAGGGAGGATCTCCTGAGGCAGAGAGAGGCCATGAGGCTCCCCATGGCCATACTGGCCCCTGACCACCCTGGCCAGCCCTCCCAGTCACCTTGTTGAACTGGGCCCAGGAGACCTGGCGGCCCTGGAAGTCCTCAGGGCTGGCGCTGTGGTCATTGAAGATCTTCTGGGCCAGGAAGAAGTAGTGCTCCTTGAGGAGCCCCTTGGTGGTCTGCACCTCTGCCATGAACTTCAGGTTCAGGGTGTCACACATCTTGTCCCAGGGCACTCGATCGGCCACCACGAAGGGCACCCGCTCCTGTGGCCAGGCAGGGGGTCATGAGGACAGGATGCCCGCTTTGTTCCAGCCCTGGGCTCCTCCTCCTACCTGCACCGTTCTCTCCAGAGCCCAGTGAACCCCAGGTTCCAGCTCCTTCCCTCCAGCTCGTGGCACTCACAATGTCGGAGAAGGCGTTGTCCCACAGCACGGTGGCTTTGGCGTTGTTGTCCTGGTTCCCGTGGACGATGACCACGATGGGCAGAGACAGGACCTAAGGGCAGAGAGTGGCCCTGAGCCAAGCGTGGTGGCCACCCTGGGACTGTCCCAGCGCAGCACAGGTGCCCCACAGGGGAAGGCTCAGCACATCCAGCCCCATCCCAATGCAGAGGAGCTGGTACCTGGAGGTGGATGGAGACGTTGCTGGGGGACAAGGTGACGCTGGTGCTGAACAGGACGGCGCATTTCTCCTCTGTCACCGACTCAGAGCCCTTCCGCTCACAGCGCTTGATCTTCTTCAGCAGCTGGGAGGGAGAGCTGAGCATCCCCAGCCTCGGGACCCCCAAAAACCCAATGGAGCCCTCAGCACAGCCCCGAGCCCAGCCCCTCACTGGTGGCACTTACCACGTTCTTGAAGTTGGCGCAGCAGGTCCCGCTGGTGGGGTTGGTCTCCAGGGCCACCGTGTTGTGCACGATCTCCCCCGTGCTCTCACTGGGCAGAGGAGGGGGTCAGGGGGGGAGCAGCGGTGGGGAAGCCCCCCTGCCCCCACACCCACTGCTCACCTGAGGGTGTTGCTGTAGTTGCTGAGCTCCAGCTCCCGTGCCTGCTTCTCTGTCACCATGTCAGCCCTCACCACGTAGGGCTTGGGCGCTGCCTTCAGCAGCTTCGGGCCCAGCAGGAACCGGACGTTTGCCTGGAATTTGGTCTGGGTCTTCAGCACCTGTGGGGGCTGCTTCTCCACCAGGAAGGAGCTGAGGGACAAAGGGACACCATGGCACTTGGCAGCTCTGCCACCAGCCCCTGCAGACTCACCTCAACCCCTGGCCACCTCAGTCTGTTACCTCTTGACCAGGCTGGACAACACCTCGTTGAGGCGCTCCAGGAGCCGCGGCAGCAGGTCAGGCTCGGTGCTCACTGCCATCACCTGTTCCTGCAGCTGGAAGTAAACCTCGACCAGGTTCTCGCACCTGGGGAAAGGGGGACCCTCAGTACCCCACCCTCACTCACCTGGAGCCCCTTGGGGCGCAGGAGGTCGCTCAGGGTCCCCCAACCCTGCCCTTTGCCCTCTCACCTCTTCTGCAGCGGTGCCAGATCCTCCTCAAAGATGGCCCCGTTCCCTGCCAGCTGCTGTTGTCTCTTCCAGATCTGGATCCTCTTCAGCACCTGCTGTTTGGCCGCCTCCAGCTCCTTCACAGCCTCCAAGATGAGGGTGGGCAGTTCCCTGGGGGCCATGGGGCCCTGCACGGCCCCGTCCCGCCCTGGCCCCTCCTCGCAGAGCGCCTGGATCTCACGGACTCGGTGCTGCAGCCGCTGCAGCCCCAGGCTGAACTTCAGCTCCTCCTGCCGCCGGTGGAAGCTGAGGGGCAGGTGGTGGTCCTGGGGCAGGGCAGAGCGGGGTCAGCAGGGGCTGCAGCCGGTCCTGCACCTCGGGGTGCCCGGGAGGGGGGCAGGGAGCACCCACCCGTTTGAGCACGGCCGCCTTCTCACCCTCCAGGATGGCTCTCACAACGGCCACCAGCCGCAGAGGGTCCCGACGGAAGGTGTTCTGGGGGGACACAAACGGGGGGTGTCAGGGGGACAGGACATGTGCCCCCTGTTCCTGGACCCTTCCCACAACACCCAGCCAAGTCAATTCAGGGGTTCCACAACCACCACAGAACTGATTTCCAGCTTTAAAACCACTTTACATGGCGCGAAGGATCATGGAATATCTGGAGTTGGAGGGAACATCAGGATCACTGTCTCCAACTCAATTTTTTTTGTGTAAAAAGTAGAAGAATCAACTTCAAATTGAAAAAAAAAAATAAAATTCCAAACCAAAAGGAATTCTCCATTCCTGTGAGCATTTCTTCCAGCCTCCAGCCTGACACCTGGGGGGGACTCTCCCAGCTGCCCTGGGTGGATCAATGCTTTCCACTGAAAACAGGGAGAGGAATTCCCCTGCTGGCTCCAGCTCTCGTGTCCCGTGCCAGCTCCTCCGGCCTTCACGCATTTCCCAAATTAGCTACTTCCCAAAACAGCAGCAGAAACATGATGGGGGAATGGCTGATGACGTGCTTGGTGGGTTCCTGTGCCGGTGGGAGCTCCAGTGCGGGGGTCTGGATGCAGCACTGGTAGCCCCGTGGGCTCTTCCAGGGAAAATGTGGGATTCAGGGGATGAGAGGCCCAGATTTGGCTCCCACTTGCAGCCCCAGCCCTGTGGTTGCCCATCCTGGGGGTCACCTTGCTCTCACTGCCCACAGCAGCACCGAGAGCACGGAATAGCCTGGCTGGGCATGGAGGAATGAAGATTTGGTGTTCTGGCATGAGGGATGAAGGGAGGAGGGAACACAGGAGGGCTGCTCTGCTTCAACATTTTAAATAATAAAAAAATCCCTAAGCTGAAACATCTGCTTGTTTCCTACAGCAAAAAGCAACAGTCTTGTTTTGGAAAGCCACCCTGCTCCCCAGAAAGTTGTGACTAAAGCTGATCCCTTCCCAAATGTTGGGAATTAAAATATTAAAAAGGTCTGTTACCAAAAAAGCAGAGTTTTCAACCAGAATGGGGCTCTGGGAGTGAGCCCTGCTCAGCCCTGGAACTCTGAGCTCCGCTGGCCAGAGGGGATAATAAATCAGAGGTTTGGGAAAGGGACAGAGCAATTCCAACAGCCTTGATAAGAGAAAGCCCCAAAAATGAACCCCAAAGCTCACACCAGGAGGAAACGCAGCCCCACACAGCATGGAGGAAGGAAAAATCAAACACACGAGCAGAAAATGGGGAACATCTGGTGAGACGGATGTTCCCCAGGTGCCAACAGCTGGGGGCCAGTGGGGCCCTGGGGGCTGAGGGGCTCAGGAGGGTCCCCACAGGATCATTTCAGGGAAGATGTAGCAGCTCCTGTGAGCCACTGGGCTGCAGAACCCAGGTCACCCCTGGAATGCAAACAAACCCCCTCTGTCCTGTGGAACACCCCAAAAATCCAATCTCTGAGTCCACTCATGGCTCACAAGCCTGGAAATGGGTGTCACACAGGGACTGTCATAAGGCATTGAGCCCCTCCAGCACAAAAGAATCAAGTTTTCCCAGGAGCTGGCTGCAATCCCAGCGTGACCCAGCCCCATGGTCCCTGCACACCTCGATGCTGCTGACTTGCTGCAGGATCTGGCTCTGCTGCCCATCGCTGCTGGCAGCGCTGCGGAGCTTCTCCAGCATGGCCGAGAGCAGCCTGCTGGCCATGCTGCTGCAGAAGGCGTCTGAGCCATTGATGAACTCCCTGGAGAGGGGAAAAATGGGGAGAATGGGCATGGATCCCCGTCCTCCCCCGTGTGACCCCCAGCCCTGCGCTGCTTCAGGGAGGAAGGGTCCCAGGAGACTCACCAGGGCTGGTTCTCCAGCCACTCGGCCAGGAGACAGCGCAGACTCCGGGGAAACTCCGCGGAGAGGCTGCTGAACTCCTCCGGTGGCATGTGGGACACCAGGTTCCAGAGGGACATCTTGGAACAGTCACCTGTGGACAAACAGGCGAGGGGATGGGGACTGGGCCACTCAAGCAGCCCCCAGCCCAGCCCCAACCCTCAGGGAGGGGGTGAGAGTTGCTGCTTCTCCTTCTGCATCTGAACCTGCTGCTTCACCGGGCTGGGGCTGCTGGGGAGGAGAAGGAGAAGTGGGAAACTTGATCCAGGATCAGCCTCTTGGGCAATCCTGGATGGGCTGGCAGCCCACTTGTGCCTCAGTTTCCTGCATCTCTGGGGAATCCCTGCTCCTTCTGCCACAAGGACGCACGAAGGGATGGGCAAGAGCTGCTGGATGTGGCACAGGAGAGCTGGAAGAGCTGGAAGAGTTTGGAGCCCCCAAGTGTGAACTCCCCCGAGATTGGTGAGCTCGTTCCACCGAGGTGATCCCAGTGAGGCGGCTTGGCTGAGCTTCCTCAGGTGTTCCCCGCAAAAAGGGCCCCTTCCCCGGCTGCCCCTCACGCTCGGTGGACTCCAGAGATCAGGAAAAGCAAGAAGAGGACTGGGATGAGGTGCTAGATAGGGAACTCCACCCGGAATGCCCGGGCTGGGGGCTCACAGCCCCACCGCACCCCAAGGTGGGCGGTGGAACCCCAACATTCCCACCCCGTCCCCTCAGCTTTGCCCGCGCCTCTTCCCGACAGCTCCCGCCCTTCCTCCCGCCCCGCTCGCACCCTCCGGCCCCGCCGCAGCCCCGCGGGCCCGGCCGGCCAGGGGGGTCCCCGGGCAGACACACCTNCCGAGCCCCCGCGGGCAGCGCGGTCCCCACGGGCCTGGGCCGCGCGGAGCCGCCGAAGGCGCAGGGCGGAGGTGGAGCTGAGAGACTCCGAGAACCCTGCGAGGGGAAGGAAGCCGGCGTCACTGGGCAACGTCGCAGCCGGAGCAAACAAACGCCTGCGGCCTGCCCCGAGCACGGCAGCGGGAGCACCCCGGGCTGGCGGCGGTGCGGCCCTCGGGGGTCAGCAGGCCTCACGGAGCCCCCTGTGCCATCCCCGTGAGGGACCAACCGTGGTGGCTGCAGGCTGACGCCTTCCAGAAACGCTTTTGCTTTCGACTCCACGCTGCCCGGAGCAAACAGATCCCGGGGATTCACCGCAGTGAGCGGCCCAGGGGATGAGGTTACTCGGAGGGATCAGTGGCCGGTGGGAAACGCGCACAGCAATTCTGGGAATGCTGCCGGGCTTTTCCCCACAGTCCCAGTGGGATTTTGGCAGGAGGGGAAAAACAGCCTTTCCTTTTGCCACCCTCGAGGTTAATCCCCATCCTCCTGCCCCATTAAACCTGTATTTCTGCTCAGCCCTGGGAGGCAGCTGCTGGCTGGAAGCGCCAACCTGGAGTGTAAGCCTTAAGCCAGGCATGCCTGGATCTGCTGAGAGTCTGCAGGACAAGCTGCTCTGCTCTCTCCTCCCACAGCCCAGGAGGAGCTCGAGGGGGAACATCATGTCCCCTCCTGGCATCGGTCACAGCAGTTCCTTCAGCCCAGCCGTGCCCTGAATCCTTCCCATCCTAATTTCCACGTTTACCTCTTCTTCTCCTGCAGAAGAGCTTTCCCCAGTTCCCTCCTGGGGACAATATCCCATGGGGACCCTCCTCCAGAAGCCGAGGTGGCAGGGACACAGCTGCGTTGTGGAAACCGGCTCGACACGGGGCAGGATACGGCACCCGGGGAGGGGGAGCAGCCGCCCCCCACCCGCTCCCCGTCCCCAGACCCCTCGATGCAGCCACTTTCGCTTCCTTCTCCACCCTCGAGGGGTGTCCCGTGCGAGAAGGTGGCTCAGGAGGAGCCCAAGCACGGGACGGGGCTCAGGGACCTCCAAACTCAGCATAGACTTTGTGCTCTCTTACTGCAAAAAGAAACCTTGTCCCCGAGCTGGAGCCGCCGTACATTCCCCGTCCCCTTCCCTGTCCCGAGGTGCCGTAAATCCCACGGATGTTACTCATTAACCACCAGCCCTTCCTGGCTGCCAGCGGCAGCCCCCCACCCTCGGGGGCTGTGTCGGGGGGATGGACCCCAGCCCGCTGCTCTCTGCGATCTCCCAGCCCGGCTCAGGTGGGTCCCTCTGCACCCTCCTCATCCTGCGGGGCACCTCGGAACACGCTCCCTGTGCCGGCAGATCCTCCGGGGCTTTCTCACGGACACATTTCCGAGGTTTTCCAAATGCTGTGGAAACCCGGACTTCTCTCTGACTCTGCCCTCGCCGGGAAGAGCCCGAGGGATATCGCTGTTCTTCAGCGTGCCTCGGTTTCCCCGGGGTGCTGGGGACGCCACTGCTGCCAGTTCTCCGGCTGGGGCCAGAACACAGTGGGACACCGTGGGACACTGTGACAGTGCCACGCGGAGGACACCCAGGTTTTGGGGGGGGTTCTGGGGGGCTGCCCACTGCTGACTGCTGGGGGAGTGAAAGTTCTTCTGGTGCGTAGGAAGGGGAGCGGGGCCTTCCCGGACGACCCAGCCCAGAGTGACTCACGGCTCATGGAGCCCGGGCTGGATTCGGTGCCGCTCCCGTCCCAGGAATTCGCCGTTCGGGTCCACCGGCGGGACGGGGGAAGGGGTCTTCCTTGGCCCCCACGCACCCCCCGTCCCCAAACAGCACCATGCCAGGAGAGTGGGGTGCCAGGAGAGCTGGGTGCCATCCTCTGCACCCTGCCAGCAGCGGTGCTCTGGACTCCGGGTCGAGCGTTCCCACCTCGGCGGCTGATGCAGCCTCGGCGCCACCGGTCCCGGAGCCCCTTCCCCATCCCCAAACACCCCACTGAGGTGCTGTCAGTCACTCCACTCCCCCTCAGATGCTCGGCTCAGCCTGTCACACATCACACGTGCCCCCCACAGCCCCCCAGCCCCGGGCAGCTCCCGCCCCTGGGATGCCCCGCAGAGCCCCGGCTCCCCCTGGCTCCCAGCTCGGTGCCCCTGCACGAGTTCCTGGCCGGAGCGGGAGGTGCCAAGCAGCGGCAGAGTCCCCGGCCCCGTCCCCCGTTACCTGGCGAGAGCAGCCGCGGGCGGGGGGCGGCCGGTCCCCGCGGGCCCTCGTTCACTCCATAGAGGCGTCGGGCGCGCCCGGTCCCCACGGCGGCCCCGCTCCGCCGGGAAGCGCCGAGCGCAGGAAGGGGGAG